TTGAAATATGCTAATTGCATCAAATCTCTGGCAGGTTTTGAAAAATCTGATTCACCAAGAACTGTGAACTGTAGCATTTCTTTTGTTTTCCAAATGAGAGCTCTTAATCTGTTTAGGCTTCCATTGCAGACTTTCTTCTATCCACAGAAATCCCTTCCATCTGCTCTAGCATCATTCTTCTACTTAATTGACTTACTTTCTCTGGATACTGATGTGATCTGATTTTCCTTTGCTTTCTAACATGCTTCACTGTTACATTTATACCCACGTGAATCTTGCAGCTGTTATCGACAATGCCAGTTCCCTTTGCTGTTAAAAATCATTCTTCCTGCTGTAATAAAGATGCTCAATATTCTAGCAGAAGAATCTGCAACATGTTAGACGTCTGTCAGAGGACAAGCACTCTGTTTTCCCCATCTCAGTTATTTCTACCAGAGTCTTATAAAGCATTCGGAAGCATAAACAACATACTTGTATTTCATAACTTCGTACTTTTCTCCCACTTGGGAATAAGATGGAAAGAAAGTTAAATTGTGAAAGTACCTCAGAGTATGAACATGCAGTAAAATGTGACAGAAAGACTTGCTAAATTATCATCTACCTGTACTGACTCAGGTAGGTGGCTACCAGTTTCAGGATAAAAACAGTTTTCAGGAAATCTGGCTGTCAACAAGGTTTTTCTGCTTCATGGTGTTGAAATGGTCTCAGAAGCGGAGATGTAACTCTGAACTCTTAAATATTGAATTTAGGGGCCTGAGGGCACATCTAAAATAGATTTAGAATTTAATAGTAGCATTTCATTTTTACAGATGACATGGAAAAAGAGGAAATAGGTTGCAAGAAAATTCTCTTCTGCATGTTCAGCAATCAGATTTACAAAGGCCATTAGGCATCCACAGGTGCAGAGAAGTGTCGAGGGGGACTTCCAAAAGCACCTCATTGAGTGACGTGCTTAGTCTCACTGAACTCTGGAACAGGTGGAACTTCAGATCTGTTCAAGTGCTTTTACATCAACAAAGCCTTCTTTGCACTGCTATACATCTAATTATCTCCATAAGATGGCCCCCAGTTAGTTGCAGATGGTCAGCAAAAGGAAAAGGGATGAACTGTTCTTTGTTTTAATAAACATATTCTGCTTATGTGCTAGGGAAGGTTTTGTTTCTCTGTGTGGATTTTCCATCCATAGCTCTGCCTCAAGTTACTGTCTGACTACAAAGCGATAGTAGACAAGGCCTGGGTGAGTGGCAGTCTCCACAGAGGGATTATTTTCCCAGTGACATGATGTGTGTCTTCCTGCGGTGATACCACCACATTGTTTCTGTAACTCCTTCGCTATCACCAGCTTCCCCTGGGGAGATGCCACGATGCTCTCTGACATTCTGGCAGTTCATCTTAAAGAGGAATCTTTCAGTAAGGTGGTGCCAGGCAAATGGGACTGCTGCCTATCATACAAACTATCACTGCAGATATTTTTCCCTGTGAATATTATGTACTAGGGAGCACTGAGAAAATTATACTTACTGAAAGGAATCAAAAGAGTCTAATTATAGTGGGTTTTATAGAGCGAGTTAAAGGATGCATGTCAAAAGGGACTGATACATAATTATGATAATATCAGTTGTAACTCCTGTGCTATCTAATTACTTGAAATGGGTGGCATTGTGCAATCTTTATGAAAGCTTTGATAACAAAATGATTTAATCTTAACATGAAATGAAAATAAAATTGAAAGGAAAGTAAAATGAATATATTGGTAGGAATAATAGTCAAAGAGGCAGCACTCAATGTGCTGGAAAGACAATGCAACCCACCAGCTATCTCCAACCCTAAATCTATGCTATACATTTGACTCACACTGTGTCAGAAACTGACATGCTGCATGTGCTGCCTAAACTACTAGTCAAAATCAGGACATACTGGTACGACAAGAAAAGAGCTGTAAGAATGGAGAAAGAAAGGAATAAAAGAATTGAAAGACTAATAAAAATATGAAAGAGCATAAACTTAGCAATTAAAGAGTTAAACTCCTCTGGAGTTTGCTCTGGATCCTCTGAGATACTCCAAACCCCCAGCTGCCAAGTAGGTGCTGGACCCTCTTGGATTCAGGCACTCAGACACCTCTGAGGACCAAGGTTTTTCTATTTTGTTTTCATGCTGGCTGCATGAAAATTACACTGATAAAACTGTAAGCAATACTTTATGGAAATAAAACATTCAAGTTATTACTGTAATCAAACACACATTGTGTTCATCACAGATGTAATTTAATTACACAGAGCCCATACCTGCTATAACATAACGCCATCTGTTGACAAATGACCCGGAAACTAGAAAAATCTAATTTTCCCATTCATTAGAAATGAAAATCCTAGCATGTTCATGCACAAACCCACGGACCTGCTGGTAGGTCCATGCTCTTAATTATGGTGTAGCCTAGAAAAAGCAATCGTCATTTGAACAGTGACATCAACAGATTGTCAGTCACTAGTGGTTTACAAGTTTCTGTGGCCACCATGGGGAGACATCAAACTTTCATGGACTTTCAGGGATACTGCGTTATCATCATTCTTGTAACAGAAAATAAGACTGGATAAAAGCTTTAAGTCTATTCTGTTGACTACCTGCAGGCCATTTATCTCTCGGTCTGCAGTTTGGATCACTTCTCATTCTATAACAAGGTGACCTGCTTAGTCGGTACGGGAAAGGCTGTTGATGTAGTTTACCTGGACTTAGTAAGGCCTTTGACACCGTCCCTCACAACATCCTTATGGCTAAGCTGGCTGCCAATGGCTTGGATGGGCGCATACTCTGCTGAGTGAAACACTGGCTGGGTGGCCGGGCCCAAAGAGTTGTGGTCAATGGAGTTAAATCCAGTTGGCGGCAAGTCACGAGTGGTGTCCCTCAGGGCGCGGTGCTGGGACCGCTCCTCTTCAACATATTCATCAACGATCTTGATGAGGGGACTGAGTGCACCCTCAGCAAGTTTGCAGATGACACCAAGCTGGGTGGGAGTGTCGATGTGCTGGAGGGTAGAAAGGCTCTACAGAGAGACCTGGACAGACTGGATGAATGGGCCCAGGCCAACTGTATGAAATTCAATAAAGCCAAGTGTAGGGTCCTGCATTTTGGTCACGGCAACCCCATGCAACGCTACAGGCTTGGGGAAGGGTGGCTGGAAGGATGTACGGTGGAAAAGGACCTGGGTGTTCTAATTGACAGCTGGCTGAATGTGAGCCAGCAGTGTGCCCAGGTGGCCGAGACGGCCAACAGTATCCAGGCTTGTATTAGAAATTTTGTGACCAGCAGAAGAAGGGAGGTGATTGTCCCTCTGTACTCAGCACTGGTGAGGCCGCACCTTGAGTGTTGTGTTCAGTTTTGGTCACCTCAGTATAAGAGAGATATTGAGGTGTAGGAGTGAGTGCAGAGGAGGGCAACAAAGCTGGTGAAGGGCCTGGAGAATAGATCTTACGAGGAGCAATTGAGGGAGCTGGGTCTGTTCAGTTTGACAAAGAGGAGGCTGAGGGGGGATCTCATCATGCTCTACAATTACTTGAAAGGACATTGTAGAGAGGTTGGTGCTGGTCTCTTCTCACAGGTAATCAGGGACAGAACCAGGGGGAATGGTTTCAAGTTGCAACAGGGCCAGTTTAGGCTGGACATTAGGAAGAAATTCTTCACAGAAAGAGTGGTCAGACACTGGAACAGACTGCCTAGGGAGGTGCTTGAGTCGCCATCCCTGGATGTGTTCAAGCGCCGTTTAGATGTGGTGTTGGGTGATATGGTTTAGGGGTGAACTTGTAGTGTAGGGTCAATGGTTGGACTCGATGATCCCAAGGGTCTTTTCCAGCCTGAATTGTGCTATGATTCTTTAAGCCCTCATCATCTGAGTGCAGCAAAGATCCAATCTCATTCATAAGCTAAGTTTATGTATCTTTTCTAAAATTTTAAAATAACAAAAAAAGAGTGGTAATTGACTAGAATCCCTCATTTACTACAAGTTTGGGAAGTAAGTTTCTCTATGCACTGATTTCAAGGAGTTACTTTTTGTGTTATGCTCATTTAAGCAATCTGTTTGCATGAGATCATTCAGAATGAATGGATATGACAACAGTGTGTGTCTTTTCAAGTTCATTATACTAATTTCTCATTTAATCCAATCTTGACTCTTTTTGGTACAAGAATAAAACCGTGAAACACTTCTCTAACATAGAAGTGTTTTAATTGCTGCGCCTTTTTCTTAAGGAAAAATGAATGTTTGGAATTCTTCCTCTGAGCTGTAACCTCACAACCACTTGTCACATACATTGGTCTGTTCTGCTCACTGTAATAGCTGCATACTATGCAGACTATATGCATTCAGTAGTATTTAATAGAGACTGTGAGACAGTCCTCTGAGCATGACCTTCTAAAGCAGTTCTACTGAAGTTCCTAGTCTCTGTGGCTGAGGTGCCTCTGTTTTATGTTGTGTTACTTGACCAAGTCTGAAGTTCACTGCCTTGTCTTTAACATCCAACTAAGTTCCACTGAATTAAATTTTAAATCTCTGCTGAAGATTGCCTTTGGCTCCTTTGTGTAGCATGTTGGTATCGAATGTCAAGGAAACAAAGGGAAATTTGAGGTTTTGAAAGTCATCATGGTTTTCACAGAAAAATTTGTCTAATACAATAAAAAAATTGCAGAACTAAATAACTTGAGAAAGAATAATAAAATGTTATTTCATTTTGGCAATAATTTTATATGTTATTTTGTTTATTTATGATGATTCTTTGTAGGATCTGTTAAAAATCTTGTCTAGTTTGCAAAGCGCATGGCTGAGATGATTAGCAGTATTTCCCTGCAAGACTGTAAAGGAAATAATATAAGGCTTACCATGAAATCTGTCATCTTCCAGAGGAGCAAAATAACCCAAGCAATACCCACCAACAAGAAATAGGCCAACAGATTATCCACTGACCGCACTGCTGCCCACATTTTGGGCACCTATGAGAAGGCTTTCTTACCTTCACTGCAAACTCTGTTTCTGTAGCTTTATGAACACATCTCTTGCAGACTGAATAGGAGCCAATTCCTATGTCCTCCTTGATCTCATATCCATCTGTAAAGTGAATGTTGTTCCCATGTAACTGCTATATAGAAGGACAAAAGAAACAAGGTGATCAGGACACGGGTATGTAAAAGCAAGGACTAGCCTCATTTTAATAAAAGAAACTCTTGATCTTGCCTCCCTCACAGAGCTTTCTCGTCCTTTGTGGTTTTTCTAAGACCAGTTAAAAAAACCTGAAGCTCTTTACTTAAACAGTGTGTCCCCTCTTTTTTACCTTTTTCCAGTCTGTAAGGCAGTTGTCCCCGTGGACGTAATGGCAAAAAAGTGGTGATTTTCTAAACTATTTATGGAATGCAGACAATCACCCCTTGTTAGAAATTCACAGTGAACTGTGGGCCCAAATTCCCTGACAAACTCACATATCTTGACAATATAAACAATTTTTAAATTACTGAGAGGTCAGATAACTTATAAACTAGTAGCAGCTTCACAGTCTTCAAAACAGATGCTCCACATACAGGCTGTGACTCAACACCCTGTGTGGACCCTCCTGGAGGTCTTACCTAGGATACGTTTAATTATGATTTCTGTGTGACGGAAAAGTTACAATTTTAATAATTTAATAAACCTAATTTAAGGCAATATATTACTAGTGAAAATAGTAGGAAAATACTTCACAATTTCTAGTTTTATTTACTGAAGGGTATAGAATGAAGTACAGCATCATTAGTTCACATGCCCTGTGGAAAATGTCTGGGCAGGTGGATTGTTCAAATGGTGAAGCCCAGTCTGAGGCCTTGCGGCAAATTCCATCCCAGGACTAAAGAAACGATCAGCAGCTCTAAAAATCCTCTAGGATCCTCTTTCTGAAAATGTAACCTCACTAGCAAAGTCCACACAGGACCTTCTAAATTATAATATATGCATGTATTAAAATTCAAGACTTTTTTAGAAAAAAAACCAGGAATATATATAAAATTTCGGGATGTAATTGAGTAACATTTCGCTTACTGTTGCATAAGAGAATCTTTAAGAATACGGCATATTCCACTCTAAATTATTAAACAGGGATGAGAACTATGAAAACCTATGCAAACCACAGAGGAATGGCAGCAAAGAACCAAGTATCTGGTGAGTGTGGTTCCCCTGAAAAGCTGCTCTAGGTCACGTGAGTACACCCAGGCTATTGTGCGACAGCAACTAGAACACAGTGGCCTCTTGCACCCAGAAGTCTGGGCTCTGTGTCTGTGGGAGCCTACAGCAGCAGTTCACTGAACCCATTTGCCGACACTGCACTGATCCCATAATCCAAGACAAAACTGTTGAGAATGACACGCGTTCACTGAAGAAACAACACTTGGTCACCTGCCCTGTATGCACAACTGGAATGGTGTTTCTGTTATTCAAAAGTACCTTTCATTTCCGTTGTGATAAGGTGCAATTCCTATTTGCTTTGTAAAGGCTGTGGAGAACGGGAACTTAAAAGGTTTTGGGAAAAAATTCTCGTTTTCCACCTCCTACATGCTGCAAGTAAACACCTCCCACCTACACTGGGTAGCTGTGAAAAACTAGTGAGAATGCTGAGGCAGTTTAAATACACTATGCATATATGTATCTACCCATCAAATGCGAAGTGTAGCATCAGCATCAATACCTGCACAATTGGATGAATGGTGATTTTATGCACATCTTGCTGTGCAGGCTCCTGCACCAAGTTAGAGGCAACAAAGCTGAACCCTCTGAAAAGATGATGAGCATTGGCACTTGGAGGAACACCTGGGGAATCTGTAGGAGAGGGAAGAAAATGGCCTTGTGAGCTGCACAAAATATCAGAAAGGAATAGCACAGCATCTGCAACAGATAAAGTCACCCCTACTGGTCAAAAGCAGACCCTACTAAACTCACAGACACATGTGACTATAATTGACCTCCATATCAAGGCTTTGGTGTATCTTCTCCATCCTTCTCTGCTAGATCTGAACAATGCAGGGGTATTGTTTGCAAGGATTTCTCCTCTTGGATACAGAGTTCTTTTTCACAGTGGATGTTCATCCTTTGGCAAAGCACTGTCTGTGCCAGGAGTCCACATAGAGAGAGAAGGCACGGGACAGAGACGCTAGGAGAAAGATGGGTAGCTCAAGGCAGAGCACTCCTTTGGCTCGGCAGAGGCTCTCCAGCAAGTAGAAAAAAGTTGCAAGATGCTGTATTTGTTTTTTGCAGCACACCTGGACTACAGAAGTTACAAAGGCTAAAGTGCTTTATAGGTACTGTTGTATGTTGTGTGGGTCAGAAGAATGCAGAGAAGACAGGACCTGAAGCAAGAGCAAAAGCACAATGCTCCAGTAGTGGTGGTTCGTGGCCTCCACAGGGATCTTCTGGAGCAGCTTTAGGAGCTGGGACCTGTTTCAGGGAAGATGCTGACTGACTTGTCCCGGGTGACAAGGGTCATTTTAACTAACCTTCGTGGAGATTTTCTCCCCACTCCTTCCCCTGACATGACAAATCCAGGTGAGAGCCTGGAGATCAAAAAGCCCCAAATTATTCTATCTTTGGAATGAAATAACTGGAGAGCAGTTCCTAGTACCTGTACCACTGCTCAGTGGGATAAATGGCATAACAAAGCAAGAGGGTAAGAGTTGCACTTCACTTAGAATTCTGAAAACCTATAAAGTGATCTTTCCCCCCATTATACGCTTTGTTGCAGGTATTTTCACAAGTAAGAATGAGTCGCATTACAAACCATTCCTTGGCAGCTGGGTATCTGGCCGGGTATTAAAAAATCTACAGTACTAAACTTTGCTCATCTTGTATACGTTCTTTTTTGGGGGTTGTTTTTTTTCTCCCCTACCCTTCACATTTCCTCCAGTGCAATATATGATTCACCATGGCAAGGCTGCAAAGCTAAAAACTTCCTTTAGAAATCTATTTCCTTGTAGGAAGTGTGTAAATACCCAGTTTCAACAATGTAAAGAAAATGCATGCCCCCTGGAGCTTATATCTGGCTCATGCCTACCCATCAGCACCACCTATGAGTGTGTAAGGCAATGGAAGATGGAGTATTGTTTGAGGTCCTGAAAGTATGCGGGAATGTATTTCTTCATGTGAGCATTCCCTGAATAAATCTACCAGTGAAATGAACAGAGGATCTGAAGCGGGAATATGGTAAAAAACAATAGCTCAGAAATAAAAAACCCCGAGACAGCAGCTAATTCTATAGCTCATTAAAAATCCACCTCAGCTTTGTCAGGAGTCGGAAATTAGCCCAGCAAGACAGGCCTCACTCCAAAGTACGTGGAGCAGCTTGTCTTTCGGTAAATTATCACGGGCTATTTGTTTATCTCAGCATATTGATGGGTGCTCTCCTTACAAATACACAGATCATAGAACCATAGAATCATAGAATGATTAAGGTTGGAAGGGATCTTGAGGATCACCTAGTTCCAACCCCCCTGCTGTGGGCAGGGACACCTCTCTCCCACTAACCCGGGTTGCTCAAAGCCCCATCCAACCTGGCCTTGAACACTTCCAGAGATGAGGCATCCACAACCTCCTTGGGGAACCTGTTACAGTGCTTCACCACTCTCATGGTGAAGAATTTTTTCCTTATATCTCATCTAAATCTACTGTCTTGCAGTTTCAGGCCATTGCCTCTTGTCCTATCATTACAGGCCCTGGTAAGAAGCCTTTCTCCAGCTTTCCTATAGGTCACTTTCATGGATTGGAAGGCCACTATTAGGTCACCTTGGAACCTTCTCTTGTTCAAGCTGAATAACCCTAGGTCCCTCAGCCTATCCTCAAAGCAGAGGTTCTCCAGCCCTCTAATCATCTTCATGGCCCTCCTCTGGACGTGCTGCAGCAGATCCATGTCCTTTTTGTACTGTGGGCTCCAGAACTGGACGCAGTACTCCAGGTAAGACCCCACCAGAGCAGAGTAGGATGGCAGAATCACCTCCCTCGACCTGCTGGTCACACTCCTTTTGATGCAGCCCAGGACACGGTTTGCTTTTTGGGCTGCACGTGCACACTGCCAGCTCATGTTAAGCCTCTCATCAACTAACACACCCAAGTCCTTCTCCTCAGGGCCGCTCCCAATTTGCTCTCTGCTCAGCCTATATTTGTGCTTGGGATTGCCTTGACCCGGCTGCAGGACCTTACACGTGGCCTTGTTGAACTTCATGAGGTTGGCCTGGGCCCACCTCTTAAGCCAGAATCACAGGAGACCTCTTGCGTCACTGGGTACTTCTTACAATGGCATATATACAACAATAATTTTCCAAGAGGGATTAATTAAGAGGAAATAACGTTTGTTTTGAAAAAGGAATTACAATAATTCAAATCTGAACACTCTTGAACTTCAGAAAAGCTGTGATCCAGCTCTAAAACATAAATTCTAGGCCATCTCTATTTAAAAATAACTGTTCCATCACAATTCACTGCCAATTGCTTTATCAAACACTGTAGAAGGATTATAGATTATTTGATGTTCATTATTAAATATTTGTCACCACCAAGTGATATGCCCATCATATGACTTAAATGTTAGAACACTGATGTTAAGTGCAAAATTACGTTTAATCATGTTAAATAACCGATAGCTTTGAAGTCCAAATAATTTTCTTAGGCTTGATAAATCCAGAATAATTTTGTATATCTGAATTAGACCCATTTGCAAACACCAATCTTACATAATAGTTATCTTTCTCCCTGTAAAAGCCATAATATTTTGTCCCAGTAGAGCATCTAACTGTACAGGATTTTCAAGGGCTGCATAAATCTTAAGTAATTTACTTCAGTATGCTTCCCTGGGGTTAGCAAACATTATCTTATTTGCAGAGGAGGAAAATTAGATACTTCAGGTGCAATTTTACATATTTTTCTCAGCAGTAAAGCCAGCCTAAGACATCCCTGCCCGTTACAGCACGCTGCTCCATCACTTAACAACAGTACAAACACTTGTGGGATGAAATTTAAGATTGAAATCACCAGAATAATCTTGATTTGATCCTTGTTCAAATCACCATTTATAACCTGGATTGCTTCAGTCTCCCACTCCCTGTGAGGAGCTGAATCAGCACAAATGAGGTGTGGGTCCACAGTGGTGGATTTAGGAAACAACTGGCCAGAAAAAGCAACTCCAACTCAGACGAATCCCTGAGGAAACCTTATACTTGGTTATGACAACAACACTACGTGATACTTACAGTGCTTACCATCTTCAAAGTCTTACAGACAACAGCTAATGAAATTTTTACATTTTAGAATATATAAATAGGTACTTCTTTACATAGGAATATCGCAGGTGGCAATATAATGTAGTTTATGCATATCTAGCAAAGAGGCAACATTATAACTGGAATTACTACTTTGAGATTACTGTTATTCTTGCTTTCAACTAGAAGACTGTGAAGATGGCATGACCTTCTTATACACAGTTCACAAAAAGTAATACTTCTGTTAGGAAATAGAAATTATAGGAAGGGCATTCTCACTGCAAGGATTTTTTAAGTACTGTGGGCCAAATTTGCTTCTGCTGTAATTCCACTCAACTGAGAACTTGATGATTCTTCATTACTGTTGACCATGTATTGACTTCTAACAGTCCACAGTCCAGAAGATTTCATAATTAAAGTAAACATCTATGGAATATACGATGATACAGTAACTTGTTCTTTGAAGCCAAGGTAATGTAAAATAGTTAAATTCACCTAATGTAAGCAATAAGAACAATAATAAAATAGCAAATCAGTAGCTATTTTTCTATTAAAACCATGAAAACAGTCCTTCCTGAACATAAACTAATGTGAAGTTGGTGAAATGCTTATGAGCTTCTTTTCTCAGAAATGCAAAACAGTGTTTGCTTCCTGTTGGGTACTGCAAACCCTAGTAATCCCACATGTGATCAGGCTTTCAGACCTTGGTGCAATGGGAAGGGGAAGGAAGAATGAGGTTACTTGCTGAAAAGCTGCATTACCCATGTGGCACCTTACTAACCTGTGGGGGTCCTAGACGTGAACTCTGGATCAAAATGAAAGGTGTCTTCTGGCCGTCCCACTGCGGGCTTGAAAGGTGGCTTTATTTCTTTCCTGTATAGTTTCTACAAGAAGAAGAGACCACAATTAACAACATTCTGTACACCTTCAGCATCTGCAGACAGGGTCCACTGCTTTGCTCAGGGTGTCCTCTCTCAGCTCTGTGCCATCCTACAGGACTGACAAAAAAGGGATGATGGATCCAAAGCTCTGACACCCGCTTCACTGGTCAGCTTAAAATATGTGCCCTGAATGGTCCCTGCACTTTTTACTGGAATCCAGAATATAAACACAGATGTTTCTGGTAAAAATTTAGCTCAGACTGGCACAATATTCCAGCTGAGGCATTTGGTGATTCACTGATCTTAAGGGCAGGACTGGAATGTGCAAAGGTAACACCAGGAAACTGTGCATGGGTGAGAGGAAGAGAAGGCGGCACATAATAAGTAAGCAGTGCTAGGTGTGTGGGCTTGTGCTAGTGAGTGAAGGGGCACAAAGGGGATCACATAAGTAACAGTCACCAAAAATGTATGATAATACACTGCCTTTATTACTTTGTGGCCTCTTTACTCGTGCTTAGCGATCTTTAAGAAATCGCTGCTCTGTGCTCCTTTGCAATCATACACACACACATATATTCTGGGATGATGATAGGGAGATGAACAAACTGAGGTGCAGCATGTCTGGATCTGATCCAAAGCCTATAAAGGTTAATGGAAAGAGTCCTATTGATTTCAGTGATCTTTGCATCAGCTATGCTACAAATGGCCAAATCTGAACATCATGCTGATGGCAGCATGGTGAACGGAGCTTTGACTCCCTGCCCCATGTTTCAGTCCCTACACTTCATTCCCTTTCTAGCAATGTTTTTGTACTCAGATTTCAAAGGGCTGAATTAGTTGCCACAGACAGATCCCAATAATTAACATGTCTGTGCATAAATATAATGCTTCATCCAAACTTTCAAGTCATGGTAAGAGCTGGAGAGTTCAATTTTATGACTGTAATATGTATTTTCAGGTAAGCTTTGAAAACAACTTCTTAGTGAGCTGATTTTTTCAAAATATTTAATGGAGATTAATACATGTTTGTCCAGCTCTTTGCATGAAGGAAAATTTTTTTTTAACTGTGGATTTTGTGGTGAATTAACTTCTGTAATATAAAGCATGTGGTCAAATCTATGATATATACACATCAACATAATTTGAACCTGATTTTGCATAGATAAATACAGGTTCTTGAGAAAGGACATTCTGTAGCATAGTATTAGTATTAGCATAAAGCATATGTTTGTGGTTGAATTATGATTCCTTGGAAAAGTGGAATGGTGAGGCTGGAAATGACTCTGCAATAATTAATGGCCATTTCACCATAAAAAGTTCCTGCTTGCGTAAAACTGTTCCATATCTTCTGAGAGAAAAAGAAATGAATAATTACTGCAAGCCACAATGGAAAGCCAGTCTTTCAAATAATTAAAAGCCAATTGCAATCTTAAGCAGGAAGTGTCACTCATCAACTGAAAAGTATCAACCTAGTAATTAACACATATCTTTCCCTGTCCACACAGAACTTTGAAAGAGAACTCAGTACCTACTGAGGGTTTTTATGTTGCTAGGATTTCGTGTTGAGAAAGCTATTTGCTTCCAATTTCCTTTTATTTCTCTTAATTCACAACTCCAGGCCTTCTACTGCAGAAAGCAATATGGTCACACGCACATGCTTCCTCCTTGAATTAAATGCACCCCTCATCTTGTGAGGTCCAAAAATTGGAAAATGTTTTAGAGTTGTACATCACTCAGGAACTGCACTCTCTTTTGATTATCGTAACCATATTCTCTCTGGCCTCCTAATTCCTCACTCCATCTGTAGTTTCTTAAGTGCTGTTGGAGATATATTTGTGTTTTGAATCCCTAACCCACATCCTCCACTACTAGGGAGGGATTTAAGACTCATCATGAGTCACATGCCACCTAAAGATGTGTAATCAAAAATCTGCTTGCTGGGAAGGGATGGCAACAAAGAAGTTGCTTGTGTGAGTGAACAGCACCTCCTCTGAGCGCAACCCGGGTGACTCCCGTTTCCATTTCCTTTTCACTTGTGATAAAAATTGTTTCCAGTGTTACTGACTAGATAACTAGGAAAAGCGAAAGGTAAACTGCCTAAAATACCCTTTCCCCACCCCCAATCAAGCTCCTGAATTGGGTAACTAAATGAAATTTTTGAGGAACAAGAACAAGCAGAGCAGTGTCATCTGTGGGCTTTCCCATCCCACACTGACTCCAGTTCTCTGAGTGAGCCGCTACCACCAGAGCCAAATCACTGAAGCAACTAAACCACAGGGCAGCCCAACACAGTTAAATACAAAGGCTTGCTGCAGGCAGAATTCTTCTTCCTTTAAAAACCTGCATCCTCTAGACAGAAGGATGAATGTGACACCAGCTGATCTAAGAAAATAGTAAGAATGACAGCCATTGTTTTCTATACACACAGAGAACAAATCTCTTGGAGTATGTAAGATCCCTCTGGATTTTCCTAGAACATCTCTAATTTTAGATGAAATGTAGTAACCTATTATGCCTTACTCTTGTCCCCAAAAATATTTGTGGCTGATGGATCACCTTGATCTCTTCTAACAAAAACCAATCGGAGTGGCAAAGGACAGCAAGTTAAGTTTCAGGTCTTGTCTTTGACCATTTCTATCAGGCCGACACATAACTTCAGGTAAAGCAGTTACCTGAAGCAGTTATCTACATCCCAAATCATGGTAATTCTGGCTTTGCATAGGGAAGTCATGGGCAGTTCCACTGTCTATTTTAATGGGAACAGAGTTCCAGTTGTCTCAGTTTTCACAGTTTAAATTCCAGTTTTCATATCCAAATTATTTTTCTGGGGCATCGAATTAGCCATTCAAAAGAGACTTTGAACATGTTAGTGCTAACCAAAGCACCTGAATTTAAAGTTGGGTGCTTAAGGTCATTATATGTTTGTTATTTTGCACATGTATAAGAAGATGAGATTATTTTTTTTGTTCTTCCACATTACTTCCACATTCGTATAGCAGAAATGCATTCCTCAGCCCTTATTGTTTTATTGAGAATGAAATTTCTCTCTCCTTCCCAGTAAAAAATAACCCCTTATATCCTGCCCCAAGTGCTTTAAACTGGCCATAGCATTGACTTATCACAGAAAAATGTGACTGACAGGTATCAGGAATCACCATGCCTCACACACAGTTGTCAGATCCATGAGCTGTACAGAGGTAGTGCAGAATCTACAGAATGAGGGGGATGAACTCCAAGGTGTGAAAGTACTGATTTAGATATTCACACCTGGATACATGTCTATGCTTCTGTCTACTTAGCAACCCCTCACATCCTTCTGAGACTTTAATAATCAGAACCTATGTATTAACCAGAACACAGTTTTATAGCATTTTGAGAAATTATGAGCTTCTATCAACTTTCTTACTGATTTGGGACAAAAGACTTAATTTTTTTTTTTTAAAAAAAAGTAATTTTTCCCAGGTCTCAATAATCTTTTCTTAATGTATGCTGCCAGATCTGTAACATGAGCTTCATCTTAACACCTCCTCAGCTGGGATTCAAATGACACACCAGGGAGACTAGTAACAAAATGCTGTGACATGTGTCTATCTCTTGTTATTTATAAGTAGTTAATATTTCGTCATCTTAAAAAAAATGCACTCCTAAGAAAACCCAGAGATGTAAATGCTCTGTACATGTGCCTGGCAAATTTCAAGAAAAATAAAATGGTTTAATTTAATCAAAAACTATTTAGTCATTTCCTCAGCTGAGTTTCTTTGATGAAAAATTGAATTATTCCTTAGACACCTTCCAGAAATAGAAAGATGCTACTCTCCACAGTGACGCACTTGCAGCATGAGAATAAACTCTCGTGATACATATACCTGTCATGGAAAATCCAATAAGCAGACAAAAGGATGAACTACCTTCTAAAATGCTTGTCCTCTCCTAGATTAATGACTCAATATTATTGCCTGTAAATGATAGAAAAGTTAGCAGAATTCGGACCTTGGGATCAATTTTTTCTCTTGGTAAAATCTGCAATTAAATAATTCATGTTTTTAGTTTAGTTTGATCTCTGATTAATATTGAAGGAAACAGAACTGGAGTTGACTTTCTTCCCACTCCTTCCCAAATTCCAGCTGTATTTGACAGCTCATTTTCTAGCATGTCATTTGCTTTAGTTCCAATTTAGCCTGTCTTCTAAACAAAAACTACTGTTTATAGCCCACTCCTCCGACTGCAGTCTGCAAAAAAGGGATTTAATCTTTCATTTTCAATGAAAAGCCATAAATTCTGTATGTATGACCTGGAAAGAAGAAACAGTAATAAAAAAATCAGGAACTAGACTGTGCTTTCTCAAAGCCAATGACTGAAACCATTTGAGGTCAACTCAGTTTGGGTCTGCTTGTCTTAGGGAGAAAAGGGGGTGCAAGTGTAGTAAGCAGTTAAAAGTCAGAAGGAGTTGGGCATCTAATCCCCTTCCTGTGCATCCCATCCTTGATCCCGAAAGACAGTTTGTTCATTTAACAAAGGATCTGTTGAGTTTTCGTCACAGTGCCTACTGAATGCCTTAGAGCAGTAAGACTGGTATTTGCAGAAACCTTAATCTATTTTTCGGCCTGGGAAGAGGGAGTTTAGGGTTTTGTTACTGAGTGGCAGTAGCTGTAAACTTGAGACTCTTAGGGAGATTAGCTCATGCCATAATTTAACTTTGGGCACAAAACCTCTGCACCAGATTGTCCACAATTCATTTAATGCTACTTATTCACCAGAAGTTAAACCTAGGGTGGGTGGAGATTTGTGCTGAAGACCAGAACCCTGGAATATAGGAATTGTATCTGGGCAAGGACGGGAGGATGGTAATTCTCTGGCCAGACTCATGTTTTCCAGGACTGCTATTGCCTCTGCATGCAGTGGCCATATGCTATCAGCACTGCTCTGCTCGGCAGGAGCTTCTGCAGCATTCTAACAGGGGACAGTTTCACACCACGTGTGCTGTTTCCACTCCGTGCGCTGCCTTCATTGGAGCCAGACACTGTCTGGCTGCATCTCTTTGAAGACAATGAAAGATGGGAAACAAGTGAGAAGTGACTTCTTCAACAGGTAAACACTTCAGCGACAGAGACAAGAACCAAGTCCCAACCCAAAATCTGAGAGAACAGCTCTGACAGTACTCTGAAATGAAGGTCTGATTTACACCTTTCTCTCTGCAGTTCCAATGACTTCATCACTGCGCTATCTAGACTTCACACACAACTTGGGAAGGAAGCAGCTAATACATTTCTGTTTCGAATGTCTTTTTAAAATTCGATGAAGCAACTTGGTGGTTTGTTCCTAGCTATCTCGTCACACTCGTAGCAAAGATCTTGCTTAAAACAAGACCCGTTTCACACTAGGTTTGTAGAAGACACTAACCTCTTCTGACCCTTCACGATAAGGGAGCTCTGGATGGAGGATAATTTTACTACAGTCGCTGTAAGTTTCTATGCTGTCAGTCACAGCAGTCCTGTCTATCATAGCTGCCAAGGTAGTACAGAAGCTCTCTAAAAAAGCTTGCCTCTTGCTCTCTGAGGTTTTTATATTACTAAGGTATAAAGTAAATCAACATTCATGTCCCGCCTCAAGAATGCTATTTGCTGACTGCCTGCAAATTGATGTGAGAGATTCTGTTTACGAGATGGGAGAACAAAATGAGGGCATCAGGGACTCTTTTCCTGCACCTGCACAGAGATCAGCACTAAACATCTGTGTCTGATCCATTTCTGTTTTCTGACCCTGCTCTGTTTCTGTCCATGGAGAACATATTAACGGTTGGCTGATCACTGAAAGGCAAAGTCCTGGCTTCAGCTCAGGGCCAGGCTGGCTCACACCACTCTGAAATGTATCAATACTGCTGCTGTAACTGGATAAGTCTCCCAGTATCTCCATCAGTGACAGTAAAACTAGGATTAAATGAGTAAATATATTACAAAGATGATAGCTGAGCTGTGTAATAATGACACGTCTGTCTCCAAGAGAGTGTAATAAGGACTAATTATGCTGGATTAAAATGGATCTTTACAGCTATGTTTTATGGCAAAGTTAGAGGGTTAGATAAGACATCAAAGGGCAATTAAATCCACCTTCCTCTCTAGCTCCAGGTCATGCTCAAGCACACCTAGTCTCCTCATGGCAGATATCTCCCTAACATTTCCATAAAAACTTTTTCAAATTATGGAATACTGTGTAATTTCCTTCAGAAAGCCATGCAACTGTTCCCTAAAGAACTGAGCTTGGAACAATTACCAATCACTACGACAGAAGGTGGTCTTGAGGAGTCTCACATTCCAGAAATGACTTTGCTGAAAACCTTTCCAAGAGGTTGAGACAGAGCCTCATTCTCTGCATTGAGTTACTGAGCTGCTCCACTAGCAAACACAGAAGGAGAAACCCTCTCATTGCCGTAGTGTTCCTTATTACATTAAGATTTATGCACCTGAGCTGTATTTTAATTGCAAAGTTTAAGGCTCTGGAGATACCAGAGGAATACAGAAGAAAATAATAATAAAGAACCCATCTCTTCAGGATTCTCTATTTCTTTTCTTTTTATTTAATGTTTTCATAAGTGTAAAGTCTTTATATAGAATCTCATTAGTAAGAAGCAGAAGAGGAAAAATAATGTAGACTCCAGAACAAATATAATGGGACTAAAAGTCAGCTGCACCATAATATAAATATCAGACTCCAGTTTCACTGATCATCTCTTAACATGCTTATGAGCCATGCCAACACTGCAACATGCAATCCAAATTAGATTAACGAGCTTTTCCAAAATAAATGATTCTGTGGGCTTTTCAAAGGCCACCTGGGCACCACTGAATGTGCTTTCATAGAGGAATCAGCTTTACTGTAAAGCCCTGGGCAGCAGTTTGATAATGGCTCTGTCACATATATTCACAACATTTTGCTGGAATTTATTGTGAGAGCTGTATCAATGTGACCTGTTACACTAGCACTCGTGAGTCAATATTAAAGAAATGTAACAATACTATAACAAAGAAAATCCTAGGGGATGTGGCAAACTGGATCTGTGATGTACTGTCAGATGTCCAAATCAAGAACAAAAAGTACTTGACTCTAGGTTTGTCTAAAAATAAGTTAAGGTGAACAAATATGATGCTGAAAATGTGGAAAGGTTTAACCTGTTGCAAGTCTAAATTAAATACTTATCTCTACTGCCAGCTTTATGAGTTTTAGCTGACAGCAATAAAATAAATCCTTGTTTACCATTCTGTTAATCATGTCTAATGTCTTATTTGAACCATGTTACATTTGATTAAATGTTTGCTGTTCCAATTTTGAGTGCTGATGTTAAATTAATGACTCACCTCAATAAAACATCAACCACTTGTAAGAGGAGTTCCTGTTTCCTGTTCTGGCTGGTTGACTTGTATACTCAGTGATGTAAAAATTACTTAGGTCAAAAGTGACAAGAAGGGGTTAACAATGCTATCCTGTCCAAAGATTTATGATTCCGCCAGCACAAATCAGCAAAACCTGCTGTACCAGATTTACCAATACCCAGACAGTCCCCGTAGCATCACGCTGTTTTGGGGAAAAGGGTGCCCCTGGATGTCTTGGAGCTGCTGTCAGCAGACATGTAAGAGCAGACTCAGGTCTGCTGTGAATAATTACTGATATTGGAAAGAATAAAACTAGCATTTAGTCCAGCTTGCCTGACCCAGTGAGAAGGGACAAGTATTTCGATATGGAACATAAAAGCAGAAGGGACCTACAGCATCAGACTACTTCCATCTGGAGTATCTCTTTCAAATCCAATTCCTTGACTTTATTTTCTTTTGCAATTGAAATATTACAGCAATTCTTTCATTTAAGCTGCTTCTTTTCATTCCAGTCCAGCTCCCACAATCAATGTATCCTGTTTATTAGAGCTCAGTGTGGGAATTATTCTGCAGAGCACTGCAAAGAGCCTCAGGTAGTACTGTGATAAGCCAGACCATCAGACAAAACAGAAACAAGCAGTTAGAAAAAAATGGCAATGCTGAAAGCAGCTTTCTATTCCCTTCCTTTGTGGGTATGTGAAAAAATGTATATATAATATCAGAGAATCATTTAGGTTGGAAAAGACCTTTGAGATCAGTAAGTCCAACTGTAAACCTAACACTGCCAAATATGAATGCAAGAGACATAGGCTCCCACTTCACACGTTCTAGCTCCTGGGTTCTCTGTTAGAGTTCACTTCACCTTTTTTTCTAAGCATGGCAGCTTGTCTTCAAAAATTTAGCTAAGAAAAACAGTAAAAATAAATAAATAAAAATACTGCTTCACTTACGTTCCAGTCTATAGTAACAAAGAATGGGTGACGTTTAATTTCCTCCACTCCATCAAATCCAGCACCTGGTAAGAGAAAGAATCAAAATGAAGTTATGCTTAGAACAGTGCTGCATGACATCTCTTCTCCAGCCTTCCCCTCTGTCCTCTCTTTTCTTCTAACAAAGTCAGCAACATCAGCTAAATGTATCTTCTCGTCAAGAAACCCTAAACAGGGCAACTGCCGTAACAGTATAAACTATCACAGATACAGACAAGAGCACTTCATTAATGAAAATCTAATGGCTAAGGGTTTTTTACTTTTCTCTAATTGAGGCTGGTGCCAAGGCCGAATAGCTGCTATCTTCAGGCTTCAGACGAGACGCAGCATTTCAGCTGCAGCAGAGCCCATCCACCAGTGAGGCCAGGAGAGGCTCCAAGACGCCCTGATACTATGGCAAAGCCACCACTGCTCCTGGCCACCAGCAACACTCTTCTATCCCCACTGGCTTTCAAACCTTGTCTAATTACCTGTTGTCCACAGGCAGGGAAAGCTGCACTACAAATAATTCTAGACTCAAAGCACAAAATGGCTCCAAATGATATTTTCACTTCTGTATTTGAATTTATTTGCTTCAGTGCCATTGCAAAAAACAACAGGTGCTCAGTAATAATTAAACAACTGTCAGAGTTTGTGCCATTTTTTGGGGTTGATTTGACTTTATTAATAGCACCTTTCATTTTCTAGTAAGAGAACTAACATCTGGAAGCAAAGGCTTTGCATTGCAATTTTGGAATCAGTTCCTGAAAGGTACTCAGCCCTTCTTTACAAGGATGCTGACATCCTTGATTCCCAAAAGGACTTAAGATTCATAAGCATCTTGCAAAAGGCACTCAGCACCTTAGAGCACTCAGCTTTTTATATGCACTATTTGTACTTTCTGAAGATCAATATTACAAGGAGCTTTAGAAAGGTCTAATCAGCTTGAGCTTTTGTAAAATGTGACATCTGCTCTCCTTGTGTACAAGACATTATCAATGTTTGCCAAAATGCAGTGATCAGGAACGGCTTCCTACAGCCTGCTTAACATTCACTGATGAATGGATATGAAAGGCAAACACTTTGTGAACATAACATGCAAGATTGTCTGTCAGGCCTGCGATATGAAAGGCAAACACTTTGTGAACATAACTTGCAAGATTGTCAGGCCTGTAGGATAATAATGCAAGAAAAATGTTCTTCCGATTACTTCCCCATCCTAGTAATCTTACAGCATAGACAAATGTGAAGCACTTGAGGATAAACAATCCTAGCCCACCATACAAAATTATGTGCTCAGAGGTGATCAGCTCCTCTCGGGAGTGAGGTCATTTGATTGTGATGGACAGTTCTATGGAAATACAACATGCAAACAAATCTCATAAAGAGAAAAGAGGAAAAAAGAGAGAACATCATTACATTGTCACTGTGTAAGTCTGTTGTACACTTCAGCATGAAACATAGTTGACAACCTCACATACAAAAAAGTATATTTATTAAAGGTAGGAAGAATCAAAGAAGGGCAACAAGGAATGGTATGAAATGATTGACTTCTCAACCTGGAAGCAGATGACTGAGGGGATATACGGTAGAGATCTATAAAGTCGTGATCATCTGGACTGAGGGGATAGGGATTAACTCTTCCACATCTTTTTCAGTACAAGAAGATAAGTCATAAAATGATGCTAGCAGAAAACAGATGCAGAACAACATGGAGATGTTTCCTCAGGCAAAAGATAGTTGTGCGACATGAAATTTGAAAAGATAACATGGATACAAAATATTTATATAGGTTCAGAGGGAGAACAGAAAAGTATGTCAGAAAGGTATCTTGAAGATTACTTCACTGACAAACCACAAGAGGTTCAGGAAACCACCTGCTTAAAGCAGGCGCAGACTGGGAGAGAATTTGGATGAAGTATCACATATGCTTAGCCTATTTTTACTCTTCCCTCAAGAGTGGTTTATACCCCCTGAGTACTGAAGAAGAAAATACTAAGACTTAGATAGTAATAAGATTTGTTCTATGTCTTCCTCAGAATGTTTTTTCAATGCACAGTCTAAAGATATACTAGATACCCATGGCAGATTCATTCTGATTTTAGCAATGCCAACAGAAACATGAAACCAACAGAGTTACTCTAAACAGAATTACATTAGGCAACTCTCCAGACAAGAAATTTCTGTAAAATATGTGTTGTATTCAGTGGTGGTGACTGAAAAATTTGTAATGTGCAGTAGCTTTTCCTTACATAAGGATGAAACCTAAGAGCCAAACTGGTTTCAAAGGACTGGGATAAATGTTATAGAAATTGTAAGCTACTAGTAACATTATCTAGACTGAGGATTCTCTACTCTGGCCCTTCCCCACTGTCTCCCTTTTCCCTCTTGTGTAGGCTTATGGACACATCATTGTGTGAAGGGAATTAATTACCTTTTTCAGATGACTCATTTGAAAGCCAAACTTTTTGCTATTGTTGCTATTTTTTTCACAGAAACACAGAAATCAGAACCAATTAAAAAGCCCACCCATACCTACTCCTGTCAGTGGAGGACTGCAGTACGCAGTAAGGAATGCAGAGCAGCTGACACAGGCATTTGTTTGAAAATTTAGCATTTCCCACTTGCCACCACCTCAGAGGTCTGGCACAGAGAGAACAGTTTTTAGGATCACCAAGGCTTGACTCTGTCTCTGTTTAGTTCAATGTATTAAAGAGATTTAGGACAGTAATAGCCTAATTTTGCAAAGAGTGAAGGACTTTCCAGCAGCTGGTTTTACACCACAGAGAAGGTTCAGCACTTCCTGCAGTTTCTATTCCGTGATCTTGCCTGCCATGAGAACTGCTGGCAGAGCCCATGGCTTGCTTTCAGGCTGTTTGCTGTGGCTGCAGGCAGCAGCAGGTGGCCTTGGTCTTCTTCTCAACTGGGGACACCTCGGGGAGCCCAGAGGAGCAACCCTGATCTCAGTGCAGAAGCCCATGGGAGATGTCAGGCACCAGTGCTTAAAATGGAATCTCTTTGGATTTTCTCAGCATGTTTCAGCCATTCATCTACCACCTGCAACTCCATAGTGGTACTGGAAAGAGATGTGCTTTCATGGAGAAAAGGGAAGTACAGGAATAGCTGGAAAGTGTTGTTTCATGAGCATAAACATTCCTTGACAGAGAGACAGGTGAAGTGCTGAAGTGCAGCACACAATGGCACACCACATGACCACAAACCTTTCATCTTTCTCTAAATTTGTTTGGGGTTTTTGGATGTGTGTTTTAAACTGCTTGAACTTCAATTTAGTAATCAAACCTATCTGTAAAGAGTAATCAAATCCACTGCCTGCAAATATTCCTCCATGTCATCCAGTCCCATGAGGGTCTGAGAAGATAAATAATGCTTTCAGATTTAATTGCCAGTTTAAACACATTATAGAGTGCAAGGATTTATATAAAAGTAGCCTCATGTTAATAAGCAAGAACTTGCTTTATGCCTGTAATAAAAGTGTCTGCAAGAAGTAGCATTAGAATGTTTTATTTGTAATTTGTAATCCTTATGAACAATGTGAGACCTTAAATATATTAAGGAGAAAAAGGGAGACCTGTGAAGTTTGAAAGTTGACTATGATGAGGAGTTTCGAGATTTTTAGTTTTAAATAATAAAACTTTAGTGTCTCCACAGGTTCAAAATCTTTTTAGTGGGTTAGATTTTCTGAAATGCATTCCTAATGTTTACAAGAAAGATGTACAGTCACCTGGATAAAGGTGAAATTTGTCATTTTATAAAACCGAAAAAAAAAGTTTTCTATGTACCAAAGTAGAACATATCTTCTCTGAGAACACAGAATTAAGGAAATAATAACTATTCCTTTGGCCTTTATTCCAAACCTACTGGTGTATGCTTTTATTTTATATTTTCTCAGCCAAGCTTCTCAATTATAAGAACTCTGAAACCTCTAGACTGCTCAGCAGTGTAGGGAGCACCTGAAATGCTCTTTACATTAATTTACGTACCTGAGTAGATCGAGGCTTCAGAGCAAGTAAGAATCAGGCCTCTGCCCGAATTCCTGGCAATGTAATGAACTAACATCATCATTGTACGATTTCCTTTTTGAGGTGCTTACTCTTTGTTTGCTTGGGTATTCCAGTTAGTTTCTTTTAAGAATTTGAAATTATACTCAACTGTAATCTAAAATGTCTTGTATTTAATCAAGGCAATACAACCTAAGAAGTCCTACGAAGACTATTCCTACAGCCGCATGTATGTGCTCAGAAAAGGACAGAGCCCATAACAAGGGATGCCAAATGAAGGAAGACTTTCCATTCATTAAAAATTTGTTTTAAAGCATTAATGCAGGCACCAGATTTAAAAATAGAATCAGGTAAACTGTATTTCTAAACTCCTTCTGTGCCTTTTCTGAGTATGTCCCTTCAACTCTAATATTTTTTCCATTAATAATACAAAGCTTCAGAACAAAGTTTCAATGGAAAATTTTAGAATACATCATCAATTTTTACTTCTGTTTGTTAAGATATCAAAATCAAATGGCAAAAAGCAAGATGGTAGTCAGAATAAAATGATTTTTGAAGCTCAACATCTTTCATCTCACCAAGATTAAAACCACTTTGGAACTAAGTACGAACACATTCCATATTTGCAAACTTCTGAAACAATGGCTGAAAACAAGTATTTGATCCATAATATGGTTCATTTATTTTAGCACGCTTCATTATTTTTCCAAAGATTTTTCAAAACAGGATGTCTAAGCCTACTTTTCTTTCAGAACTTCAGACTATTATTTGTTTCCCAGAAAAACCTAAAATCCACAAAGTTGAAGCAAGTCCTTTTAACCACTGACTTCTGTTCAGTATTTAGGCCAACCATTGATGTATTCCTTCTTTCACTACCAACAATCATAGGCAAGTCTGTTTTCATCATCTTTCATGCTGATTCTCAGTCAGTTAAAACAGAGAGAGCCTTCAGAAGCTTTCCACTGCTATCCCTGAAATTTTAACACTTTTTTTTTTTCCATGACTCTTTAAGATTTTATTTCCTTGGATGCCTGTGTTATAGGTAATAGGTTCCTTTCTCTCAGCCTTCCCAATATTTTGAGAGACCTCAGGTTTAAAACATCGACCCATCGCAATTCTGCACTACTAAAAGGGAGATGATACGGGGGATAGAGCAGTTGTGGCTAAAACTAGGTAACTTTCCTTATTTTAGTGAGTGGATTTTTATTTAAAGATCGGTATCCAGAAAGTCCCACTGACTGCACTGGAGCCGCATTTTGGATGGAGAGCAGCTTGTGGGAAGCCACAAAATAAGCAGAGCAGAACAAAACCAAGAGAGAGAGACAGGGAGGAAACAGCAGAAAGGAGGAGAAGAGTGGAGTGGGGAAAAGTTTATATTTGCTGCAGCATCTTATTTGGCTGAACGTAGATTAAACCTAGAAATCCCAAGACTCTAATTTTCTCTCATGTCAAGCAAATTGCTTGAGAGCAGTTGAAACATGCTGAGAAAATGTTTTTTTTTTTTTCCACTATCATCTCTATACCATAGCAGACTAAAGAGTTATCATTTAGGACAAGAGGTAAAACCTATGGCAGGGCATTCCCTCCACAGGCCAGGTGGGCATCCCCCTGAGAGGAGATGGGGCTCCCCATCCCTGCCCAGGTTGGGTTGTCCCTTGGTTCCTGTGTGGAGCAAGGGCACTCGGCTCCTGCTCTCCCCAGTGGTCACAGTGAGCTACAGCTGCTCGGTACCACCTTAGTCTGCAGGAGCCAGGCTCTCTCCGAAAACTGCTGAGCCACTGTGTCTGACCTCTGCATGAGGCAGAGGCTCCGGCTAAGCTGCTGCAGCCAGGCAGAAAACATCCATTCACCTAAAACGCGACAGCCTGATGGTGCTCAGTATAAAGCAGAGGGCTAGAGTAGCCCACACGCTGCCTCACCTGAGGCAAGGGACAGAGCTACTGGAGCATTGAAAGGTCAAGCAGAAGCTCAAGGGCACAGAGCCATCGCTCAGGCAGATGGTGATGGAAGTGAGCTGTCAAGCGTTTCGTGCTCTGCTGCCTGCCTGGCCAATAATGCTGTGACTGCACTGCAGAGGACCAAAAGCACTCTGCAGCTGACCTTCAGCAGCACCACCTCCAGTATTTAAGACATGAGTGTGAATACTGCAAGAAGGAAAGGGAAACCTCTCTCGTACCTTTTGCTCTTTCCACGTCTCCGAATAGGCCTTTTCCTAGTTTAGCTTTTTGATTCCAGCTTAACCTCTACAGTCCAAGTAATCTTGCAAGTGCAAAGCTGGCAAGAGAGAGCAGCAAATTGCTTTTCACAGGTTTTAGTGTTTAACCGGTCTATGCCTTTCTCTAGAAGGCAAGTAATTTATTAGCTTCCCAAACTCCCATGGATGACAATGACAGTCAAACACACGTGTGTGGCATGTATGATCCATCAGCTCTCTTCTTGTGATACATTTTTCAGAATTGAGAGATTAAATTCCTGCTCCTATGATCACAAAAACAACAGAAGTACAAAGGAAATGCTTATCTCTTCTTTTAGAAGTGAATTCTTCCCTTGCTCACCCAAAATGCAGAATATGGGAGCTGTGGGGAAAAATGAAACCTCCCGAATTTTTCTCACTAAATATGGTTTTTAAATGAAAACTGTTACAGTGCTATTATCTTCATATCATTCATGTGATATGACTGCTCTTGGTTTTCTACATAAAAATCTAAGACCAAATTATCACGCACCAGGCAAAATCCATAACCTCACCAAATGAATTTTTAATACAATTCCCACACAAAGGTGCAGATGGCATAAGATACATAATCCAATATATCCATACTAGTTTATCACAAGTTAAAGAGGATTACTACTAAGGGGTGAAAACGCATTCATAAGAAAGGAGATAATACATCTAGGGTAATAAAGAAGAAAGTCTATTATGAAAATGCTCCTAGCGAACAGAACGAGACAGCAGCAAAATGTATTTGAGAACGGAAGAGACAAATTCTATTCCCTTTTGCTCCTCATCTTAGATTTGCAGCTAACGATACAGAATTTAAAAGATAACTGTTTCTCAGTTCCCTACATTATCATGTGCAGCAGTTATCTTCGACCCTTCATAAATGCTGGCAGTTTCCCTCTTCACCAGAAAAATAAAATACAAGCTAACATCAAGGTCTAGATTTCAAAGGTTTGCCTGTGCTCTTTGCAAATTTCTCTAATATCGCTCAAGGTCCACTATGCTCTGGGAAGGAATGCAAAGTGCTGCAGAATGAAAAGGTGAACTGTGAGGGAAGACAGTTACCACGGACATGTATCATGGAGAGAAACGATCAACACCTGACAAGGCAGAGCACGTATCACAAATGTCCCGATCAAATGTGCGCACGTACCTAATCTGTTGGAGGGGTTCCTTTTGAAGAGAGCTCGCAGCAGGCTCTGGGCTTCGACACTCAAGAACTGCGGCATTCCCAGCTTGGCTCTGAAAGAACACAACGCTTGAAAAGGAAATAGATTTTTAAGACATTTTCTCCATCCCACTGTGGTTTAAAAAGTGGAACTGTAGTAGTCAGGATGGGCTGACACATGAATTTGGTGACCAAAGGCTACCTCAGCATAACGCAAATAGGAGTGAGGATCTGATCGTGCTCTGTCGAAGTTAAAGAAGGTTTTATCCTTGGCTTCACTAGAAGCGCAGTAGATCTAATAAATCTCATGATGCCTTTTGCAACTTAAATAGGCCATTTTCGTACATAATTTTTTTTCACTTTTTTTAGCCTGCTGGAATACATTTGGGAATCCAGAGGAATTTAAACAAACAAACAAAGGTTCTTGAAAATAATTACACTAAACCACATATCGATTAAAGAGAATAAAACTTTTCCCTTGGTTATTTGCTGCCACAGATAGAAATTGTAATACTGAACAAAGATAAGCTTTGAATAGTTATTTCTGCACTTAATAACAAATAATAAATAATAAATAATAAAT